TACAAGAAATAGTACCCTAGCCATGGCGAAAAAAATGTACTGTGCACGTGATCTGAAATAAGTCCATTAAAATATCCAATTAATACTAGATATCAAATATTAGGGTTAGGGTTAGAGCTGAGATCAGAATTATATATAAAATTATCTTCTCGACATTTTTTGATAGTGCACCAAGCTAAATTTAGACATCTATTTTTTGTATTTTTCACATTTTTTGTCTTTTCACATTTTCTTGTATCAGATTTGTTTTGTCGGGTTGATCAAAAATTTGCTTCATTCCTATTTATTGCGCAGAATTTTTGTGCATTCTTATTGGTTGGATTAGTTCATCATACTAAACAAGCGACAAGGGTTATTGGCATGCATGTGTGTGCATGACTATTAATCATGTACTCAGAAAATCGACTTCCTAACTACAGCGCCGAATTTCTCCGAAGTGAATCCAGTCACAATTACCCCGTGCCAGATTACATGTTCACCAGGCTTTAGCCATGCTCCATTTATAATAAAAGTAAATTCTTTATTGTTAGTTCTCATTAAGCAACGATTACCTCAAAGAGGCATCTATTTTTTGGTTTTTTTGTTGTACACATCATCTTTTACTTTCAGACTCATCATTTACTGTTATTCTATCTTTTAGCAATTTCACAATTATTCCAATCACCTTTTTTACCCCTTTTGAATTGATTCAAGATCCTCTTTTAATGCTTCTTTGGATAAATTAATCCGGTATTTACTTTTACTGGTACAATATAGGTCATCGATGGCAAATATAACGAAATGCCATTCCGTAGCTGAAAAAAATAACCATGATTAATCAGAGATTCAAAGCTTATTGCAGAGCAATGACAGTTATGTACTCACTCAATTTTTTATATAGGATAAGAGAAGAGTGTTCGAATTTACCCATACCTGTAGAAACTATCCTGTAGAGATAATCATAATCGTCACTTCAGAATGCTTGATCTGCTGTTTGTTTCTTTTTATTTGTTTGGTATGCACTTTCTAGTTGCATTATATTCTGAAGATAACTGATTTCAACATTACGAGACTTACCCTCAGCAATACACATAAGATCCTCATTTCCTTTGATAACATAGTTAACACGTCCAGATGCCTCTTCACCAGAAACGTCTTTTTGATATGATATGTAAATTTTCTCTTTATTGATAAGTCTTTGAACGATTGCTAATAATGCGTTTAATATAGATGTAATAATACACAGTGAGTAGCTTCATTGGTATATATATTATTTTTTGAATCAGATCATTAATGATCAAGATATTACAATATATATCCTAAATTGACTAATTTATTTTTCTGGCAATCAATTTATAATGAAAAATTGATTAATAAATATGAATTAATCACTTTAGGATATAATATCTTGATGTCTAGAGATCTGATTTGAGCAAAAATATTATTATTCAATTTGTTTAATCTAGAAAAATCAAATAATAGTATTTTTGCTCAAATCAGATATCTAGACGTTGAGATATTATGTTCTAAAGTGATTAATTATTGTATTTGAAGCATGAAAGTTTATGAATATACAATATTTAATAAAGAAACTTTATCAATTTATAAAAAATATCATGATTAACATTTGTAATATTCTTTATACTCAAAAAATTTACATGATTTATGAAAAGTTATGAAGAATTTATTATTTTTGATGAGTACTATATATCTTTATTCATTTTTTTTGCAATTATTATAATTACTTGATATTTATTATTTTTAAAATTATTTTTACTTATTATAATTTGGTATTTAATTTTTTAATTTCTTTTCTAGTCTCAGGAGAATATTGCAATTTAGTTAAGTTTTATTATTAATATTAATAATGCTGATTATTATTATAATTTCAAAATTTTATAAGTTGTAACTAGTTGCAATTAGGTAATACTATATTGCAATAGTTGTTGCATTATTTTTAATGCTAATATATTTTCATGTTTTTGTTATCAATTATGAATTATTTCTTATATTATGCAATTCTTTCACCAGTAATTTTTAGGTAAAGATCTGTATAATAACTAAAAGATCTAATACTACATAAAGATAAAATATATTATATTTTAATAGTGATAAGTAATTTTGAATATTTATAATTGTTGGATTAATTTTTTTGAAAAAGATTAACAGATTTGGTACATGAAATCATTATTGTACTTTTTACTTAAATTGCATTTTTAATAATGATAAGTGATTTTTTATTGTGTTTTCACTTGGAATTGCATTTTAATAATAGTAAGTGATTTTTTTATTTATTTTTGGATGTTTACAATTGTAGAGTGAATTTTTTTTGATAAAAAACAATGAACTTGGTACATGAAATCATTTTTGTGCTTGCATTCCGAATTGTATTTTAATAATTATAAGTGATTTTTTGTAGTGTTTACTCTGAATCTATTTTTCAGATAAAAACCAACAGATAGCTCATTAAATAGAATTATTTGTATACTTTCATTATGTATATGTGAAAATGATTTAGTTTTGTAATTTGTCGCGATCGGGCAAAAACCTAAATATAATAAAATATATAATCATAATTTGCCGCGATCGGGCAAAAACCTAAATATAATAAAATATATAATCATAATTAATCTAGTTATATATCTAGTTATATTAATAATTTCGAAGTTTGATAAGTCGGAGTATGGGTGCAGGTCGAAAATCACGTGAAAGGCACTTTTTTTTGCCATGGCTAGGGTACTAGACGATTTCATGCTGACGATCAATGCGAATTTAACTAATTCACATTGTTTTGTATTCTGCGCGTTTTTTAGTCCGTATTCCAGTTTGATTATTTTACGGTGGTTCAAGTTAGCAGGTCTGTTGGGAACTCTAGGCTGTCATTATCGTGGACTACCGGATCTTTTTCTGGTCATTCGTGGATTCTTTCAACTCGCAATTCATTTGGCGTTTTCGGCGCTGTTTACTCTGTAGTCTCCGATCATTGCGACCTTTCTGGTGAATAACGTTCTATTTCAAGTTGCTGTTGGGTGGCGTTTTGGTCGGTAATAGACGATTTCTAACTGGAATTGTTAAGATTCCGGTGTAAATGTATGTTTTCACCATTTCTGGAACTGTGGGAACTGGAAGCCGTGTTTTGTAATTCACTTTTTCTTGCTTGGTTCTAGTTTCCCTTTGTTGTCAGTTCTTTGGAACAAGAGGAGGTAATTCCTGGCATTGATGACGGAATTTTGCCGATTCTTGATGATGGATGGCAGCATTTTTCTTTGATCTTCTGTTGTTATTATTGTTATCAGAGGGGAATAGTTATCTCCAATGAGTCTGTTGTTTCCCTGTCACATCGGTTTGGGCTCCTTTATTTGCTATTAGCAAGTGCAGTTCCGTTTGGCTTTTTGTTGATTCAGAGAGAAATGTTCGGCATACCATTCGTTCCCATAAGTTAATAGGTTTTCTAGTAATGGATGGTGTTTGTAGATTTCCCTGGCGAGCACTGAATTTTGTTCATTGTTTGTTGTAATTCCGGTGTCAGTTACTTTTCTGTGGTGAGCTTGCTTCTGTTATCCAATTTTCTTGACTTCTTACCATCTTTTCGTTGTTTTTATTCCAGTTTGTTGGTGGTGAATTCGTAGTGTAATAATACAAGAAATAGGACATGCAACACGTGATGGAAAACCATATTTTTTTCTCAACTATTCTATAATGTGATTGCCGATTCACGGGAAAGGTTAAAAAAAACTACAACAGCAGCAAATCTGAAAGCTGCTAATTTATACTTAAGTTCATCTGAAGATGATACTGCTGAAGCAAGTAAATAGCGCGGATATCTTCACAGTCGAACAAGATTGTCTATTACTGTTAAGAATTTTACATATGCCGTCAACAAATGTTGGCAAATTATTTGCCTGGAATAATGATCCGCTTGAAGATACTTGTGGGATAACCATGATGAAATAAACATGTTGGAATGTGATAAAAAAGGTATGCGAGCTTGGAGAGCAAGAGAATTGGAAACCAAGTTAAAAAGATGTATGCCAAGTATATTGTTAAACAAACTTGACGAACTTGGTGAA